TCCCTCCCTCGCTCCGGGCCTGGGGGGCTGTGCCAGCTCGCTCAGAGTGAGGGTCTGCTGAGTGCTGCCCGGTGTCCCTCCCTGCTCCCCGCCCTTTGGCAACCTGCTGCTCAGCTCCTGCTTTTCCTGCCTCCTTCTCCTTCCTCAGATCCAAGTCGGAAAGTTCAACTACACAATTGCCATGCTGCACCTTGGGGGAGGAGAAACCGCCATCATTGTCTCCATCGTTATCTGCAGCATCCTGCTGGTCCTCTCTGTTGTAGGTAAGGGAAAGAAAGAGATGTTTCCAGGCTGTGGCAAGGTTTTTCTCTCTGCATGTGGAGGCGTGAACTCTGAGTGCTGCAGTTGTGCAGTACCTGAAGCTAGTCTGGGTGCAGCAGGTATGGCACACAGCTTGTGCTAGGGTCACAGCTCCCTGCAGCACAGAGCTTTTCCTGGCTGAAACCACAGCTCAACTCTGTTACTTCAACCTGTGATATTTATAAACTTACCCTTTTCCCCAAATACGTAGTAGTTACTATAATACAAAAGAAGGAAGGATGTGAGAAACTGATCTTGGTCACAGGCATGGTTGTCCCATACCATTCTAAAGGTGCTCTTAGGCCAAGATCCTGGCATCAGGAACAAGCAGTGGCAGGTGCCTGGCCCAGTAGGAAGAGCAGAGCCAGCATCCTTAGCTGCAAATCTGAACCAGGCACATGAGTGTACGTACCTGGCTGGAAGCTTGCTGCACACCTTTGTCCTTGGGCTAGGGTCCCTGCTCATCACATGCCCAGAATGACTGCGCAGCAAGAAACCTGCCAGTTCACAGCAGATGAGGGCTTTAGAGTAAGGATTTAATTTATTTTTAACAAAAGCTCTAATGCACCCTATTTACTAGCTGTATCACCCATTATTAGAAACATATTTCTGGAGGCATGGGAAGACTGTCAGATATGAACACTGTAATACAGGTGGCAAACGTCCTCAATTCTGTATTCATTAATCAGCTGGAACACATTAATACACAGTTAAGCTGAATACCGACAGCCCAGACCTAAATTGAAGATGACAGTTACAGCAGGATCATTAAATTCCAGCTGGTTCTACTTATTTACAGATAATCGACAACTGCCTGAGCAGATACCAGTCTGGTGGTAGGTGTGAAACCAACTCTGGGTTTAGCTTTCTGCACTTGTGTCAGGGAGAACTGCTCTGATCCCAGTTGCAGCTGCTCCTAAGCCCGGGTCCAAAAGGCTTATTCTCTTCCTCGTTTCCAGCTCTCTTTGTGTTCTGCACAAAGAGCCGCAGAGCTGAGCGCTACTGGCAGAAAACCCTGCTCCAGATGGAGGAGATGGAGTCGCAGATCCGCGAGGAAATCCGCAAAGGTAAGTCACTGTCTGGGTGCCGAGGAACCATGGCTAGGAGCAAGATGTCAGGTTAGCAGGCTTGAAGCAATTCACCTTGTGCTCTGTAGAAGTTTATAGAACTATTTGTAGGAGAATTTCTGTGATCGCCTGTGAGTTTTTACAGGGTTTGGGAATGAGGCTCAGTGGCTGGAAGTGTGGCCCTGCCACTGTCCTGCTGCCTGGCTTGGACAAGCCACTGATCTCCAGTGCCACCAGCTTCTCTGCCCTGGGTTGATGGCCCTTGGCTGTGTCAGAGGGTTGCTTGAAGGTCACACCAGCCTTCAGTGTGCTTTCCTCTTGGGCGCAACAGAAACTGCAGCATGCTCCTCGAAGAGCAATGGCAGAAGTGTTCCAGGTGTTGGCACCCGCCGCCCCACAGTCCATGATCATGCCACATCGGCTGACATCCTGTGCCGAGGGCACTGGGGCTCCTGGGGCACAGAATGTTCTGTCAAGCTGGGGAAGGTGTACAGGCTGATGGTTAAACCCCCATGGGAATGTGCTGCTCAGAGCAAACGGCTTCAGCCCCCGCAAGGGCACGGCATGATGGGGCAGAGATGGGATGTGCTCTGCTTTCCAGTGCCAGCCTCTCTCGGCTGATGAAGGACTGGGCTCTCACCATCTGTGGGTCTCTTTGTACCAGGTTTTGCAGAGCTGCAGACAGACATGACAGACCTGACCAAGGAGCTAAACCGCAGCCAGGGAATCCCCTTCCTGGAGTACAAGCACTTTGTCACCAGGACGTTCTTCCCCAAAGTAAGGAGACAGCGCGTGTCACGGGCTCCTCATTGCTCCCAGATATGTCCCACCCAGTTTAGGGCTCTGCTACAGGGCCTTTACAGTGTCACAAAATCATTCCACTGTTATGTATTTACTTGTCACATATTTCAACCTTAATTATCATCAAAAGTGGAGCCGCACCTCCTGGGGTGTCACACAAGGTCGGGCTTGCTCGCACATGACAGAAGCTGGCGGCAGCTGCCCCAGGAGTTGCTCTGGCTTCCTGTTTGGGGCCATTGCACACCTCCTGTGAAAGAGCTCTCACACAATTACAGTGCTGGGGTCTCCTCGTGTCACCCCACTCCATTCAGCAGAGGCTGAAGGGTGGCTGAGGGGTGAATTGGCAATCAGGAGAGGGGCTTTTTGTCCCATGCAGGGTGCCCCCAAGCATTCCCAGCAGCTCGGCCAGTCCTCGGGAGTTCTTTGGATGTCTCTGTCTCTCCCTGCCTGCCTGTCCAAGGCTGTGTGCGTGGTGCTCCCAGTGGGATGTCCCAGTGTGTGTGCCCGGGTCCTGCAGCAGACGTGCTGGTGCCGCCGCTCAGTCCCCGGCTGCTCCGCCTGTGGCTGTGTGCCCTTCACTGCGGCTGTATTTCACCCCCGAGGCACTTGTGTGTCAGTGCTGAGGACTGAGATGATGATTTATGACTGCAGAGTGTTTCATTAGTAGCTATTACTCAGGTTTTTCTGTTACCCAGTCTCCATATCTCTGCACACTAGAGGCTTTAAGATTCAGGCTGGTATATAAGTGCTAGATATTTAAACATTTATCCCATCTGTTTTAAAAGTTACATATGTTGAAACACCCAGAACTCCTCTATTTTGATATAGTCTTCTGTAAAGCTTTCTCTTCTGGGAGTTTTCTAGCTGTCACATTACTCTATTTGCAGTCTTCTTGCCCTCGCAGCCTTGCGTCTGAGCAGACGTCTGCCTCCCCCCATCCTTGTGGTGTTTGCTCATTCAGGAGGCTCTTGCAAAGTGTCTCAAGGCTCCATAAGCCAGCCCTGTGCATGTCTTTGGAATGGGTGGCTTTAGTCCCAGTGACATGTCTCCCCATCTTATTGCCCTGAGGGGCACAGCCCACAGGTGCCCTCCCCTAACGCTGTGCTTGGTTCCAGTGTTCCTCTCTCTACGAGGAGTGCTACATCCTGCCATCCCAGCAGCCCAGCTCCCAGGTGGGCTCCCAGGTGCAGGAAACACATCCACTCCTGGTGGGGGAGTGGAAGGTGAGTAACCCACTAACAGAACCAACACTTTTGGGTGTGGCTAACCGTGAACACAGACCAGCACTGGATCAGCTTTGGCTGGCTGAAGAAGGCAGATCTGTGAATCTGCTCTTGTGGAGAAGCGTTGGCCTGGGATCCTTCCTGGCTCTGTAACCCTGAGGCTGCAGTAAGGTTTCCCTAGAACTTCTGAAAGCTGACCAAACCCAGCCCTCTTCACCTCTCCTTGTACAGCCACTAATTGTTTTGTTAGCCCTCAGCCACACTTGCTCCATCTGTCTCCTAGTGGGGCGCCCCAAACTGGCCCCAGTGCTCCAGGTATGCTCAGGAGTGCTGAACAGAAAGGAATGGCCGCTGCCACTGACCCAGCTGGTGTTCCTTGCCAGCAAAGCTGCTGGCTGTGTCAGGTAGAGGGAAGGGCTCTTCTAGGTAGTATCTCTGTGCTCAGTAGGGGTGTCCCTGCCGTCAGGAGGGATAAAATGTGGAGGAAAACAACAAGCAGGGCTTTCTTAGTCTGCCTTCTAAATTTTTGTTCAGGTTCCTGAGAACTGCAGACCCAACATGGAAGAAGGAATTTCTCTGTTCTCCACCTTACTCAACAACAAGCACTTCCTCATCGTATTTGTCCATGCTCTCGAGCAACAGAAGGACTTTGCTGTCAGAGACAGGTACAGGCTTCAGAACCAAACACTTGTCTGGGACTGTGTGTTTCAGTGGATGGTTGAGTCACACTTGCCTACACATTTCTGCTAGAGATGGGTGGCCATAAACCCTGAAGAGCACTCACTGATTTGGCAGTAAGAGTGTGCAAGCTGACCTGAGGTCCTGCAGCACTGAATGAGGGTTGGAATTTCTAACACCATTAAGAAGGCTCGTGAATAGTGTCTGAAAGACTGCCTTTGTGTGTTGGGTATTTTAGTGCCAGTCAGCACTTCAGTCTCGTTGGGGCTTGAGTCCTGTATCATTCTGTGTTTCAGGTGTAACCTGGCCTCCCTGCTTACTATTGCACTGCATGGGAAACTGGAGTATTACACCAGCATCATGAAGGACCTCTTGGTGGATCTAATAGATGCTTCAGCTTCCAAAAACCCCAAGCTTATGCTGAGGAGGACAGAATCTGTGGTGGAGAAGATGCTCACCAACTGGATGTCCATCTGCATGTACAGCTATCTCAGAGTAAGAGAACCAGTCCCTGCTGTGGTGGGAGCAGGGATGAGGGATGCAGGGGGTAGTGTAGGACCTGACACTTGCTAGCAGTGCCACTCAAATGGTCGCTAGCACTTGGCAAACTGAATGATTCACGTGTAGGAAAGCAACCTGAAGCTCAGTTGTTTCTCCAGTTCTGCCCAGGATTTTGGTGAGCTTAGTCTTCATGGTAGCCAGAGCATGGATCAGCATTTTCACTGTGCTTGAGAAGAGCCATAGGGGACTGAAAAATAAGCAGAGTGGCTGGAGGTTTTGGGCCCCACGTGGTTTTGTGCTGTTTCTGTGGCCAGTCAGTGTGTCTGCCTCGGGAGGCTCAGAAGGGCCGAGGGCACCACGGCAGGGGCTGCTCTGTGTCAGTGCCCACTGGTGTGTGGGGCCTCTTGTGCAGAGGCATCCTCGTGGTTCTGCACAGATCTGAGCAGGAGAGCTGGGGTGTCTGTCCCAGAAGGCTGAGGTCTTCTCTTGGTAATGAGCAGGAAAATGTTTGGCATCTCAGAGCCATCAGCAGTCCATCTGCTCAGTGCTTTATCTCCAGCATTTGCCAATTCTGTTTGGAATTCCCCAGAAGAATTGAGCAATAACTTAATTGATTCCACAGCAGTTAATTGGAGGATACCCCATTATGCCCACGGGAAGAGCCTTGAAAAAGCCTTTGAAAAAATCTCTTTTCCCAAAGTGTCTACATCCACAGAAGTGGTTCTGTATTGTCTGCATACATATTGTGATGTCTTCTTATCCCAGATGATCACTTTTTGTCCTAAAGCCAGTGGTTTTGTAGTTCATAATCTTTCATTCTAGCCGACACAGTTAGCCAGTCTAATAAAAGAAGAGTTACAGGAGTGGATGAGGATGACTGTGCCAGTGTAGCCCGGCTACCCAGCTTGTAAGGATAGAAAAGAGGAAATCAGTAATTTTTTTTTTAATCTTCAGATTTTGTGCCTGTAGTTAACCACTGGAGAAAAAAAAAGTGCTGATTTTCCCTTTTGGGGAGGGGAGACCACATGTGAGGCATCTGATCCAGCTCCAGCTTGTGCTAAAAATGGACATTGTGCAAGAAGGCTTTCTCAGGGAAAAAAGAAAAAGAGGAAAGTGGAGCCTTATCACGTGGGCCTGAAGGCTTGAGCACATTACACGGCTCACTAATGGAGAGGAGCTCCACATGCAGGCTGGGCTGGGGCCGGGGGGCTGTGGCCGTGCCCGGGGGCTGTGGCCGTGCCTGGGGGGCTGTGGCCATGCCCGGGGGGCTGTGGCCATCCCCAGAGCTGGGCAGTGCTGCTGTGAGCTGTGGGCTGTGGGCTGTGAGCTGTGGGCTGTGAGCTGTGGGCTGTGAGCTGTGGGCTGTGAGCTGGCTTCCCCCAGCCTGCAGAGCGAGGATGAGAACAGGGTATGGTGGGAGCAGGGCTGTGAGGTCCTGTGAGGTGACTGGGTCCTTTGCAGAGCTGCTGGGCTGCTGGCTGAATGTGCGTTTTCATCCACCTGCAGCAGGTTCTTGGCAGGGGCTGAGGCTACACGCTGTGTTTGCAGTCCCCTCCAGGGCTCCCATGTCCAGCCTGAAGCCATGGCACTGCAGAGCGCTGCTGCAGCCTCCTTCCCGTCTCTGAAAGCAAATGCACAATCAAGTTGATTTCCAGGAGACTCTGATATCTCACATGCTCCACAGTGACGGTGGGATCAGAGGCGACACTGAGCTGCTCCTGAAATATGAAAGGGGAAATAAATTGATCAGACAGGAGTGTCTGGAGAGAAAATTTATCCCAGGTGACACAAGCCCAGCTGTGCAAAGGGACAGGAGCTTGATCCAGATCAGCAGAGCTGGCATCTTCCCCACCACACAAATGAGGACGGAGCTGCTGTGGTGGAACAGACAGCACCTCCTTCCACACGGCTGGTGTCAGCTCAGGGCTGTGATGTAAATGGCAGTGATAGCCAAAGGCCTCCCATGTGCCTTGTGTTCCTAAGGATCAAACTCTGCTGCCTTCGGAGAGGCATTTCTTGGTTAAAAAGAAGGCTTGCCTGCCTGTAGCTCTGCTCTGTCAGACATGTGATGATGGGCCTGGTTTTCATTCCTGAATTATCCCCATTAATCACAATGTCTATTTGAAACAGCTGCTGTGAAAGTCCCCGCCGTTGTGCAGTGGAAAAATTCCAAGTGCTTGTATTTTCCCTTGTAAGTCAACGCTACATGCTCAAAACATTTGTTTCGCATTAATGCTCTGCCTAACAGCCCGTCCATTTGTGTTTTGGGGGAAAATGATTTGAAGGAGCTGTCTTCAGCTGGGAAGGAGCTGCTGGCCACAGGCATTCGTGCCTGCACATGTGGAGAGCACCTGAAGGCGATGGAGTCCACTGGCTCAGTGTGGGAGGGGTTGGATGGGCTGGCAGGGGCTTGCTGCGAGGCACGGGGGCTCAGAGGAGACTTGCAGCATTTGCACAGTCAGTGCAGAACTCTGTGGCTGCAGAACTGAGTGAGAATTGTAGATGAAATGGTCCCCGTCTCTACTTTGTGCTACAGTTTTGGTGGAAAAAGCTTTTAAAGAAAGCCTTCTCCATGAGCTACCATGGTACCATTGTGCCTGGCTCCTAACAGGGTTGGGGAGTTAAAGGAAAAGTAGGGTTCTGGAATTTGGCTTTTATGTCTGGGTCCAAGCTTACCCAAGTTTTGCATGTGGGATGGAGGTTTTTCATTTCACAGAATGCAAACAGATAATTGTCCCAAATTTAGCAGGCACTTGTGATAAGCAGCTGTTTTCTGTGCTGTTCCTACCCTAGGCTCACCAAAACATTTTGGAAATGGCTGTAGTGTGTTCCTGGGAGGACATCTATAATAACTTGTCAGAGTTGTGTTAATAGGGCAGCAGCATGTGAATCCAGTCTGTGCTCTAAACCTTTTTGTTTTCCCAAGCATATAAAACCGAAGCCCTCCCACGCTCCGTGTGCGTGGAACAGTTCAAGTCCTGCCAGCCTGAACTGTGCTTTCCATTACTGCAGTTATTTCAGTGCCCTGGGTGGCTTTAAGGGCCCATAACAGTTCAGTCAAAAATGAAAATGAAGTCTCATTAAAATACATTCACAATAGGAGGAAAAAAAGGCCCCAGACTGTGTTTTTTTAAGTATTTTTTTGTCCTGAATCAGCACTGATCTCTTCTGGTTAAACTTCCTTTCTCCTAACTAGCCAAGTCCAAAGACAGTTTTGATTCCTTTCCAGATGAGTTTTCCGAACAATGCTGGAGGTTTCACAAGTTTGCCATTTTATCTCTAGTCCCTGCCTGCCAGCCCTTCTTTCCCCGCTTTGAAATTCGCTGTCTGATTAGCACTTTTGCAGATTTCCCTAACATCCCACGGTTCCTGAGCCTGAAAGCCAAAAAGCCAAACCGAAATAGCATCTCGGCGGAGGAGCGCTGTGTGCAGCGGAGCTGCGTCCCTGTGGGGACATCTGGCCTGGGCCAGTGCTGCCCGTGCACCCCGCAGGGGGCTGCAGTGCCCCCCAGCCCCACGGCTCCCAGGGCAGCCTGGCCCACGCAGCCCATGCTCATTGCAACCCATGACAGCTCCCATATCAGCAGGACTCGCCCTTTTTAAGGTTTCTGGAGACTGCAGTCTCCTTGTGGCTGGAGCTGCCTGTGGCAGGGATGGGAAGGCTCCAGAGCCCAGCCCTGAGTTTAGCCTCAGGTTTGTCCCTGCTGAAATGGGACACAAGCAGGGTTCCTGTTGGTAGCATGGCCAGTGTCAGAGACTGATGATCCCATCTGCAGGGATAGCCCGTGGTGTCCTGCAATTTGCAGGATGAGGGCAGTGGTACTGCAGCCCAAGGAGATCTCCATGTCAGTCATGTCAGTGTTGTCCCCTTGTTATATCTTGCTTCTGCCTTTGTCTCCAAAATGAACTCTTTGTGTCTTCTGCACATTCTTCACTCCTTGTGATGCTCAGCTTCTCCACTTCCTGACTCCACACCTTCCTCTCCATTCTGAAAGCCATGCCTTCCTGCATTCCAGCACCCACAGCCCTGCTCTGAGCCCATTTTGTGCTGCCTGCTCACAGGAGCATTGCAGGCATCATTAAACCCCTGCAGCAGACCCAGGGAGCTTCCCAGTATTCATGAAGTTCCCCTTGACAAGGAAGTGAGTGCCCTGCTGGCACAGACGGCGTGTGCCCACTGACAGCCCTGCTGTATCACCCTATCATCAACCACACCAAATGCAGCGCATCCAAATTGACATCGAACTAATTGCTTTAGCAATTAGCAATTTTATAGGGCAATTAGAATAAAAGAATCACCAAGTTTTAATTAAGAAGCAGATTGAACAGGATTTAGCAGTTCCTAGCTGAGAAATATCAAAACCGTGGGGTATCTGTTGTCTTGAGCAGGCTCTCAGATGGCAGGCCTGTGTGTGCAGGGGGGAGGCTCAGAATGCATAAATGTGCAGAATTTGCACTTGCCTCTTTGGAAGGAAATTGCAAGTGAGCGTTAGGGAGAATGGGGTGTACTCTAACACTGAAGAGTTCCTTAAGAAAATAGCTTGTGTTTCCCTCGCACATCAGTGCGGCAGGCAGAAGTGGCTCAGAAATTTGGCTTTAAACTGCGTAGCTGAATCACATCAGAAATAGATGCTCCCTGTTATATTTTTTATTCTTGCTGCAGGAGTGCCACAGTTCACCTTTCTCCCATGAACTTAGGTTTGATGAATGTAAGGAGTTAAATGGTGTGTTTGCCTGCTGTCACATGGGAACAGCTTGTTGACCTTGATCCTCTGTTTTTCTGTGATGAGGGCTCTGCTGTGGTATGAGAAGTATGAGCGCTGGTTCCCAGAGCCACAGGCCCAGACTGTGGGCTGACTCCCATGGAGTTCCGTTCAAGCCAGGCTGTGCAATGAGGGGTTTGCCTGACATGTTCATTAGAAAGCTGGGTGCCCAAATATCTCTGTTCTTGGCTTTTTGTGCACACCAACCCTGTCTTGTCCTGCTGAGTGCAGCATGTTGTACAGTCTGCACCCTGTCAGATTGCAGGAAGCATCTCTGTAGCACAGTATGCTAGATTCTCCCTGTTCCTGTGTAATTCACATGTAAATTAATGCACATTTGCATTTTGCTGAGTATCATGTGTGCATGTCCCTGCTCAGCACAGCCGTGCATATGCCCCTGCCTTCTGAGCAGCACCCCAGCTCTGCCCCTGAGGCAGCACGGGCTGGCACAGCCCTCGGTGGCATTCCACAGCTCTGGTGCTTGCTGCAGAGCTTGGCTGGGGTGTGTTGATGCTGACAGCTACAGCATCCCCAAAAACGGCCTGCGGCTGTTGTTGGCTGTTGTGTCCTCTTCCCCATCTGCGCTGTCATGTTGCCACAAGTCTGAAAACTTCTGAGCAGCCTCAGAGAGAGGCAAGTGGGAGCTGGGAGGCAGTGGCGCCCACCAGGTGTTTGCAGCACCTGGGGTGGACTCGTCCTGCTCCCTGGTGTGCAGAGGCACCTTCACTGTCCACACAGAGCCTGTCCCTGCTGTGCTGCTGATGGACCTGTCACGAGCAGGTCCAGTTTGCTGACTTGGTCTTCTTTCTTTTCCCCAGGAGACAGTTGGAGAGCCCTTCTTCCTGCTGATCTGTGCCATCAAACAACAGATTAACAAGGGTTCCATCGATGCCATTACAGGGAAGGCCAGGTACACCCTCAACGAGGAGTGGCTGCTGAGGGAGAACATAGAGGCAAAGCCGAGGGTGAGTAGCCATGTGCTGGGGCTTCCCCAGAGCTGGGCTGAGAGGGAGATGCCATGCTCACAGCGTTTAGGTCTGCACAGCTGCTGAGAGGAGGACCCACCCAGACAAAAGGAAGAGAGGGTTTCTTATAGAAAGAGTTGCTCTCCTTGCCCTGCAGCTTTGGGCTGCAACTGAGGCAGTAGCTGTGCCTCCCTGGTCTCTGAGCAGGTGTCTGTGGCAGCCTGTAGGCCCTCACAGCTGCCTGTCTTGCTGTCCAGGAGCTCTCAAGGGCTCCCTGCACTGCAGCAAACCCATCCTGCAGCAGGCTTAGCACTGGTTGAGCATGGATCCCGTTGCATCAAGCAGAGGCTGAGCAATGAGCTTTGGTGGTCCTGTCAATCACCAGTTGGAGCCAAGCAAGTGAGGACACAGCTGGTAATGGGGGCTGACCCTTCCTCCTGCCTGTGGTGGTCAAACCCCATTACTAAGACAACACGAGATGGGGCTGCTCTGTTGCTCCCTGAGTTCTCCCACCTTGATCAACAGAGCCCTCAGTCCCTGGGGCTGTAAATCAGTGTTTCTCATGCTGTAAAGCATCGATGGCCACATTAGTTCAGCCTGATTTCCATCAGCATGGGGCCCAGGGCACACCAACCAGAGCTGTGCAGACACCACAGGTTCCAAGCATTCTTGGGAGCCAGCAGAACCAGGCAGATCGTTCCTAACACGGCCCTAACACAACCTCTCCCTGCAGAACCTCAATGTCTCCTTCCAAGGCTGTGGGATGGACTCCCTGAGTGTCAGAGCCATGGACACGGACACACTGAGTCAAGTGAAAGAGAAAATTCTGGAGGCCTTCTGCAAGAACGTCCCCTACTCCCAGTGGCCAAGGGTGGAAGACGTTGACCTTGGTAAGGACCAGGTGCAGGGCACCAGCCACTCTGTAAAAACAGATGAAGCACCTGTAGTTGTGCAGCAGCTGTTGGTGCCTGTCAGAGCAGTGGGTGAAGCAGCACGGACAGGAGGGCAGACACCAGGGCAGCCATGCAGTCCCAGACCCCCTTGCCCTGCCTCCTTCGGGCTGGGGTCTCACTTCTCCCCTCTCTGTGTTCAGAGTGGTTCGCCACCAGCACCGACAGCTACATCCTGCGGGACCTCGATGACACCTCGGTGGTGGAGGACGGCAGGAAGAAACTCAACACGCTGGCACATTACAAGGTAAAGCCAGAGCCCTCAGGGGAGCCCTGCCTCCCCGGGGCCTGCCTGGCCTCCAGGGCGAGCTGCGGTTCCCCTCCAAAACAGGATCATCAGGAACAAGCAGAGAGGTTGCCATAGCTCCGTGAGAGCTTCCAGGGAATAGACATCTGCCCTGGCGAGAATCTCGTTAATATTGCAACACACAGAAACTAATTAACACTCTTCATGCAAAACAAGTTATTACTGACAACAGAAAGAGGGGGGGAAAAAGCTCTTATTCCCAAGGGCCACCAGCCTGGCTGATTAGTATCACTGTGCTCTTGATCCGCACTCCTGCTGAAATTGCAGCTACAACTGTCAGTGCCTGAGAGCAGGGGCTAGGGATACCATCGAGGCAGTGAGGCCAAAAATATGAGGAAACATGGTGAATCAGATTGTTTTCTTGACTGTTTTTCTGTTTAAAATTAAATGAAACCAGAAATACTTAACGATTTTCATATTCCCTGGTATGCCTGGAAGCGTAATCCTCCCTGGTGTGTAGCCGTGCCTGGAAAACAGAAGTGGAGCTGAGTGCTGATGGCGTGGTTATCGGGGCAGCAGCCGTGCCGCTGGCACGCTGCCCCCAGCACAGCGCCTGCGCCAGCCCCAGGCTGCCACCACCCCTTCTCCCTTGGGGAATCGCAAACCAGCCCCTGCACAGCCAAACTCTCCTTCCTTTCCAAATTACCTGGTGTCCACATCCAAAAATGTACCTTAGATACATGTATTTGCCCAATTCCCATCGGGTTTGAGAGCCTCACTGTCTTGTAATTGAATTGAAAATTCCCTTTCCACATAATGAGGGACGGGGGCAGAGCAGGGCAGGTTCAGGGGATGTTTGTGGCAGAACTATGATTGCACCAGCATCCCCCAGCTCCTGGGATGTCCACAGGACCAGGGAGGCACTGATAAGGCCCCTATCATCAATGTGTGCTCTTCCCTTCCTGCACAGATCCCTGAAGGGGCATCCCTGGCCATGAGTTTGACGGACAAGAAGGACACCACGCTGAGCAGAGGTAACATCTCACTCCTCTTCCCTGCTGCTGATGACTGGGCAGGAACGCTTGCATTGTCAGGGTGGTCTCTGGCTGGGGATGCTGGAAGACACTGCCAGCCCCCGTTCCTGGGGGATGCGGTGGCTCTAAACGTGTGCTGTCCAATCTCCTCCCTCTGCCTCGTGGTGCTCTCCCAGCCCTCAAGGTGTTTGCACCTTTCCATCTCACACCCTCACTGGGAGCTGGCATCCAATCTGTGCTGACAGAGTGAGAAAAAGGAAGAATCTGAAATCACTTGGTTGAAAAAGTCCTCTCCCTCCCAGTTACATATATTCAGTCCTTTGCCAGTGCATTTCTAGGTTTCAGGCTGTGCTGAATGAAAACAGACCAAGTGAGACAAAAATCCACATTAAACAAAGAATTTCAAACCCTGTTTCCAGGCTGCCTCCAGAGAGCCTGGCTCTCCAGGAGTCCTTTGCCTGCTGTGGCAAGGAGCTGCCCTGGTGCTGAGGCTCGGAGTAATCCTGGTGGTGTGGGGCACAGCAGGGCACAGCAGGGCTTCACAGTGCAGGAGTGCCCCTGTGCTCACCCTGCTCTCGTGCCCTCTTGAGTCTCTCTTAAAATATCCCTCAGGTCCCCCTTAAAGTATCTCCCAGGGGACTTTGTCACAAGCCTGATAATGCCATAAACAACCCCAAAACAAGGAGAAACGGTGAGATCACTTGTGGTTGATAACACCAACTTGGTGTTGGGATTCTTGGGGTTCAGATGCCTCTTGACATGGAGGTCCCCAGTGTAGGTGGATTTCAGTTTGGGCCCCCCTGACTGAGCCACTGTGTCTCTCTTCTTTTTCACAGTGAAGGATTTGGACACTGAAAAGTACTTCCACTTGGTAAGTACCCCTCTCCTGGCTGCAGGGATGATGGCTGCATGTGGGGGCTGCTGATACTAAATTATTTCTGTGGGATGTAGTGCAAGTTGTGATGAACAAGCTGCATCAGGGCTCATTAGTTCTCTTCAGCAGGGTTCAAAGAGGCGCAGAAAGGTGATCTGTAGATCAGCTTTATCTGTAGATAGACTGAGGGACATGATAAAGAATTACTGGGATGGCAGAGAAGGTGCTGTGTCCGATGGAGCTGCTGGCAGCACAGAGAGCTCAGGGGCGAGGTCAGAGCGTGGCACAGTGTCAGTGGTGGCGTCCTGACACCTCGGCTGTCACCTGCTGGGAGCTCCTGGCATCCCGCCTGCTTCCTGGGCTCAGCAGGCCCGTGGGCTCCTGCTGCTGCACCGTGCTGGAAGTGCCAAGTGCTAAGTGCTGCTAAAAGCTGTTATGAAAAAAGGTGTCATGGACAACAACAATATTTTATAGTCTGGTTTGAGGCTTTTTTTCTCTGCAAGCATTTTCATGCTCAAGTAGAAGCACACATGCACACACACACATGCAGAGCAAGGAGGGAGAAGGGATGGGAAGCCAACTGTTCACACGTGAAACAATGCCAAGATGGATGTCAGTTGCTTGCTTTGTCATTATAGAGAATAATTCACTGACCTAACCAGTGGAATATTCATTTTTGTTTTGAAAAAGCCAGCATTCCTACATACTGTGCTTTTTCCAAATCCAAGCAAAGCTGGTTTCTGCAGAAGCCATGGGCACTGCTGCTGGGAGCCCAAGGTGCAGTGCAGCCCAGTGGGGCAAACAGGCCAGCATGCAGAGGAAAATGGATGGGTTCATTTCCTTCATCTAGGGTGAGAGGGGCAATAAAGAGCAGAGGAGAAACAAATGCCATAAAAATTAGTATTATGGATCACTTTTTTTAAGCCATATAAGGGTGTGTTTATAAAGCAGTAACTGCTTTTTAATTGAATTTTATATGCGGTTGAAATTCTATGCTGGAAGGAAAATTTAGTGGGATGTTTTCAGGGAAGAGGGCTCTGACCATGTGCTTTATCTGGAACCAGGTTCTCCCAACTGATGAGTCAGTGGAACATAAGAAGTCCCACAGACAGAGCCATAGGAAGAAGGTTCTTCCAGAGATCTACCTGACACGGCTGCTCTCCACCAAGGTAGGAGCTGGGCCGCCCCCGTTCTTGGCAGGTGGGATTGTCTGTGGTCTGTAGGGAGAAGCCTGCTCCAGGGAAGGAGCCCTGCAGGGCTGGCTGCTCCCCAGAGGCAGTGGGACCCCTCTCCTGCATGGCTGGAGCATGTTTAGTGAGGCTGTCGGGCTCCTCGGGTCCCTCCAGCTTCCCAGTGCATCCTTGCTGTGTGCGATGCCCCGCAGGATCTCCCTGCAATGGACTGGCGTCTGTGCAGACTAAAGGGATTCTGGCTGCCTCAGGGCTTGAGATGCATAGCTGAGACCTGAGGCCATCTCCCCAGAAAGAGATGCTGCTGGGACAGGAGATGGAGAGGCTCAGCTGTGGGAGCAGGAGAAATGTGTGTGTGATCTGAGGTCAGATCTGGCCCATCTTTAATCCCAGCATGGTGCCTCCCTGAAGCAAAGATCACAGGGATGGCCAGCAGTCTCTAGTCTTCTCTGTCTGTGGTGTACAGACCAAGCACAGATGTGAGATCCCAGCAGTAAGAAAGAAAATCTTGATGCCAAAAGAAATTAACCCTAAATGCAAATTTACCATATCACTATCCACAAACAAACTGTTCCCTCCCTGCTTCGGCATCCCCTCTCTCTTCTGACCTATCCAACTGGCAGCAAAGGGTTTCCCCTGGTGTGCAGCAGTCCCAGCCCCTCTGCTGTTCTCCTGGGCTTGGGTGCTGCTGCTCTCCCCAGGGTCCACTGTGTCCTTGTCCTGCAGGGGACACTCCAGAAGTTCCTGGATGACTTGTTCAAAGCCATTCTCAGTATCCGAGACGATAAACCACCCGTGGCTGTGAAGTATTTCTTTGACTTCCTAGAGGAACAGGCAGAGAAGAGAGGCATCACAGACCCTGACACTCTGCACATCTGGAAGACCAACAGGTTTGGGAAAGGAAATCTTTCTTTTCTTCCTTCCATCTCTTGGGAGCAGCAGCTGCAAAACCCTTGTGTCCTGCACTAATCATTAGATTGCTATAAGTAGAAGAGGGACTTGGAAAACAGGGAGGGTGGCAGAGAGGGCTGTGAAAGATGAAGCCAAACACAGGATTGGAGAGCTTTGAACAAATATGAAGCCCAGGGGAACGGTGAGCTGAAAGAGGAGGCATGGGCAGACAAAGGGCCGAAAGAACTGGCACACACAAATAATGAAGGGAGAAATAGGATGATGGCAGACAGCAATGGTGTCAGCTGCAAGCACTGGAGATCTGAGACAGAGTCCAAGACCACGTCAGGTCTTAAAAATGTCATGGAAATTTTAAAACCCACATATTTGGATCCTTTTCATTTCTTTTTCTGCCTTTCCAGCCCTTTAGTGGCACTTTTCCTGCTTAGGTCTGTAACCAGGCTGTCTCCAGGGTGTTGAGGGGACTCCAGGAGCAGGTGCTGGGACAATGGCCTGCTGGTGAGCACCGCAGCAGTGGCACCCGATGGAGTGGTGCTGAGGGACACGAGCAGCAGCAGTGGGGTGGAGGAGCCAAAGTGAAGGGGAAATAGTGCAGGAAAGAAACCAGAGGATTTAAATAAAGAGAGCAGGGAGCTTGGAGAGAGTGTCAAGAAGAGGCTCAGCAATTTGAAGATGGTGGAGACAGGAACTATTTCCAGCCCAATGTGTGAAAACTAAAACCAAATTTTACAGGGAAAGCAGGCATGCAGATGCAACCATTGGGCAACAGATTTGCCTACCCTTTATTACCTTCACAGTCCTGTAGAGCCAAGACTTAGAGCAGTTTTCACCTCTCAGCTGCTGTGGAGGGTAGGAGGGGTGAGCAATAGACTGAAGCTGTGTTGTGGCCAAATCAGCAGTGAAATAACTGGAGAAAATGATGAGAAAACAGAAAAAAAGACAGACCAAATGTGTTTTGTGGGGCTCACTATCAGAACCAGATGATGGGTTAGTGTCAGGAAGGAGGGAAAAGGAGGTGCCACCATTGCACCAAAGAGCAGCAAGTGGGGAAGCCTGACTCAACAGACCCACACGGGCAAGGCTGCTGTGCCTCTCTGGGCCTGCAGCTGCTGGGAGCTGCTGAAGGAGCAGGGCCGTGTGTGTGCCACATCCTCCAGCCTGAAAAAACATCTGGAGAGTGAAGGTGTGTCCCTGCCCCTCTATCAAGGCAGGGGTCTGTACCGGGGGTCATTAAAAAGCAGAACCCATCTTCTCAGCTTTCCTCTCTACTACTCCCTTTCTATACACCATCTTTCCTGCATTTCCACCCCTCTTCCTCTGGTACACAAAAATTCATCTCGTGTGTGTCCCCGGATCCTTCCTTTGCAGCCTACCACTGAGGTTTTGGGTCAACATCCTGAAAAACCCGCAGTTTGTGTTCGACATTGACAAGACAGACCACATCGACGCCTGTCTGTCTGTGATCGCCCAGGCCTTCATCGACGCCTGCTCGCTCTCGGACCTGCAGCTGGGCAAGGTACCTGCAGCGAGGGCTCCTGCCGGGCACCCACGGGCTGGACCAGCTGGGGCAGGGCCTGGCAGAGGGCACCGGCCCGCAGTGCCATGGCCAGCGTGGGGCTGGGCTGGGCTCAGCACACCAGCGCACCAGAGCCTGCTCCAAGCAAGCACAAGGCTGCAGCAGCCAGCTCCATCTCCCACCCTCGGGCCCCACACACAGTCCCGCGGGGCTGGCTGGCTGGAAGACATCCCATGTGCATTCTCTTTTCTCCCACTGCCTTGGCTGAGCACAGTGCTGACATTTGAAACTTCCTGACATAAAAAAGTTTTATTAAGAAATGCTGTAAATCCCCCCCACTGCCCCCAATCCCAGAGGCTGGTGGTGACAGTGTGTGACTTGGGGGACACCCTGCGGTGAGGGGGTGGGCGCTACACCCCCAGCCCCAGAGCTGCAGGAAGCCTTTGCTGGGAGAGGTTAATGCTGGAGGAAGATCTAATGAGTGCTTGATTTTTTGTTTGTTTGGGTTTTGGTCTTTTTTTTTGCATGTGTTACGAAACACCTACGATTTGTCCTTGTCAAGTGGCAGATGAGGGGAAGAGGGGTCAGCTGGAGTCAGACAACAGATGGAAACACTTCTCTGGAATACAATAGTATAAGTGAATGAATTGTTGAGTAATGTGGGAAGAATAAACCCTCAGCATAAAAATCAGCTTGCATGTACACGCAGTGTATAACTGAGCATTTTCCAGACTGGATTCTTCCCTTGGTTTCAGCACGTTGCTCTTGATACTGCAAATGTGAGAGCAGACTCAGTCCATACATCGACAGTGCACAAGCAGTTAAGAAATCAGTGCCCATCTCTTCATCATAGAGGCAAATCAGACGTAAATTAAAAAATAACTTAGAAAAGAGGCAGCATAGTTTTCCTTCCTGTTTCCAAGGGGAAAAAATAATGCTATGAGCAGGCTCTCTGTAAGTTGGCCATAGTCTCACAATGCCTTGTCAGTGGGTTGGAAAATAAACTGCTGTGGGATCTGGTGCCCGTTTCCTGTTTCCCCTGCAGCATTAGCCAAGCTACAGATTGCAGCAGCAGATTGGAGTCACCCCAGGCTCCCCTATTCCTGCCTGGCAGAGCCAAGTATGCTGCCCGTGAGCAGAAGCCACCACTCCCTGCCATCAGCAGGTCCTCTCCCCTCTCCACCTGTCAGAGCACTGGGGAGCAGTCCCGCCACTGGTGTCGGGATGGCAGGACAGGACGTGGTGATCTCACTCCCTTTGGTGTCCCCAAGCCTGGGGCATTCCCCTTGGGGATGTAACACAGGCTAGTCAGCCAAGTTCATTGCTGGGGTAATGAAATCAGGAGGGCAGGATTGCCTTGAGGTTAAAATTATTCATGCTGTGTTTGCAAGGAGGGCAGCAGGGTTGTGCCTCCACTGGTACAACCCAGTTGTATGGCTGGGAGGTTAAGGCTGCTGTCTTGAAGCTGACATTAATCAAGAGAATTCAGTATTCTCTGTTAATTACTTTACATGCACTCAATTTAGGCCAGGCAGCCTGGATTAGCCAATGCAAAATAAATCAAAGCTACATGAAAAAAATCCAAAAGCAACATTTCAGCTGACAAAGTTCAACTTGTAAGATAGCTTTGTTCTTTAGCTTAAATCAGTGTGGCTGCTCAAGAAACCGCCAGCAGAAGACATGCAGAAGCCCCTCCCTTGTTGCCAATTTCCACGCACACAGCAGCACAGAGTCCAAGTGTTTGATCTGGCTCAGGTGTGCTACCTCACCTGCAGAGCATCCCCTGGCAGTAAGCCATCCCACCTGACCGTGGACTTTGTTTTAGCCTGCGCTTGCTGCAAATTAAACCACACACCCATCACCCCCTTCTCTGGCATTGAGCTGATGGGTGTTCAGCCCATGCAAGGGCAGCAGGATGGGGCTGTGTCTCCACAGGCACATGGTGCCCATCCACAGATCCTTGATGTGTCTGAGCTGTTCTGCCATGAGCTGTTCTGTGCCTTGATGCTCTCCAGCACCACAGTCCTCTCTGGTGACAGCTGGGACCAAAGGCAAAGCTGTTCCCTGCAGCCAGCTGTAGCTGAGGTCCCTATCCGGTGTCAGTGCTTTGCTCTGAAAACAGGGTAAGGTTTTCAGCTGGGAGCAACCCAGCGCCTGAGTTCTTCTGTGTCTCGCTCTCGCTCTAGGACTCCCCGACCAACAAATTGCTGTATGCCAAGGAGATCCCCGAGTACCGGAAGATAGTGCAGAGATACTACAAGCAAATCCACGACATGCCCCCTCTGAGTGAGCAGGAGATGAACGCCCACCTCGCCGAAGAGTCGCGGGTACGTGGGCGGAGAGGATGGGGTTGAGTTTGCAGGCTCAGTGTCCTGCTGGAGCCTGGCAACAGCAGGGAACGCACATAGGCTGCAATCAGCTACTGCTTAGATGCTGGAAGGAGCACACAAAAAAGGATATTGTGCCTGAAACTTCCACACACAAACTTCATCTGACCTAATTCCAAGCATCTTCAATTACTGCCAGAACTGCAGAAAACACCCATGAGTTTGCTTGAGCCTAACTAGCTCTGGCACCACTGGGAATTGAGAGCAAAATTCAGTGCCAAAAAGCCAGGAAGTTTGGACAAGGATTTTTGCAGTCCCACAGCCACCCAGCCAGCTGGCTCCCAGGCACAACTGCCAGGGACAGCCCTGAGTCCCAGGCAGCCAGCCCTGATACCAGCCTCAAGAGCTGGCAGCCACATTCCAGGTCTGAGTCCTGCCAACTATGCACCACAGGTTCCTCAAAATCAAACCTTCTCGCCAGGGTGTTTTAGCTTTGGGCACCAAGCAGGATTTTTCTGTTGATATTCCGCAGCACAGCTGGTGCACTGTCCCCTCCTGTGAAATGGCTTTGGGCACAGAGGGATATGCAAGTGTGCTGCCTGGCGTGGGTATTTACAACTGGCTTTGAAAAGACCAAGACCCATCCTGATGCAAGCAAATGCACCTTCCTTAAAAATCCAGCTGTACCAATGTGACCATAAGTCAGGCACAACCTGCTTTTACCATAGTCAGTGCCTGCTGGCTGGGCTAGAGCTCACGAGCTCCATCCTGCTCATATTCTCCCCTCTGTTTTCTGTCTTTATAAAGAAATACCGAAATGAGTTCAACACCAATGTCGCCATGGCTGAGATCTACAAATACGCCAAGAGATACCGCTCCCAGGTGAGTGGGGATTACAGCACAGGGGCTCTGGCCTGCCTGGGAAGGGAGGAACCATCGCTGCAGCAACCCTGCCGGCAGACACCTGCCTCCAGTCCCACAAAGCAGGATTGCTGGGCTGTGCATAATTGCAGTACATATGCAATAGATGCATATCCAGATGCACCTACTCTTTGTCCCTTTGCTGGCAACTTCTTGGAAGAGGAGGCTGGCTATTCCCTGCTGATCTCAATGGCATTTGGCTGGACTGAAGAAGGGCTGCCAGATGTATTAGACCCTTTCAGGAGAGCAAAACATGCAGATAAGGTCCACCCCCAAATTAACTTGCACCTGCTGTCCCCGCCCCATTGAGGCAGTGACCCTGGCTGGCTCCTGCCCCCGTGCCACCTTGGGCTGGTGCTGTGCCCTCAGCTCTAGTACAGCAGTGCACTTTTGTCATGTACCACTGCACTCCTAGGGACCCTGGGAGAGCAGGGGTGCCAGGGCTGTGAGCACAGGGGCCGTGGGACTGGGTGGGCTCTCACCTTTGGAGCTCTGGCTGGAATTTGGGCTCCGTAGGTCTGGTGGGGTGAGCTGGGCTGGCAGGTGAGCACTCCACGCTACCTCAGCACCCTGCCTGCCTGTCTCCCACAGATCGTGGCCGCCCTGGACGCAAACCCCACGACAAAGCGCACCCAGCTCCAGCACAAATTTGAGCAAGTGATTGCTCTCATGGAGGACAACATCTATGAGTCCTGCAGTGAAGCCTAGGCTGGCTGCAGCCCTAGAAGTGACCTTTCTTGCAGCACAGTGCCGCAAGGGACCCTGCCTTCAGCTGCAGGCACAGCTTGGTCATACTCAAACCAGCCTTGTGGAGAGAGTGGGCCTGGCCATGGCTACAAGTTTGCCTCACTTCACAAGTAACCACAAGACACCCTTCTGAGCAGCTAAAACTCTTCTGGTTGAGATCCGACACTGGTCTGCACTGTGGCACCCATAAGTTATTTGCTCTTGCCAGCCAGAAATGGAGTCATGACGCCTGTGGTAAGCTCAGTTCACCACTTTCCCCTTCGTCAGCAGCCAAGCCGTCAGCACTCCGTGCAACCCTGTGCATGGTTCCTCGGGATGGGGCTGCAGAGCCCGGAACAACAGACACAAAGCAGAAGGGTCACCTCAGGGAGTAATGACCACAGACAGCAAAGACCATCATAGCCTGAGCTCCACTCCATCTCTCCAACATCCTTGTTTTTCCAACATCAGGGACTCTTATGAGCTGTTCACTATCTGCTGCATTCTGTGTATATTTGTGCCTTTTAATTTTTGTACTGTATGTGTAAACATAACCACTCCTCCATCTGAGACTCGGGCAACACAGGGAGCTTGAGGCAGAGACAAAGCAGTTGCTTCCCAAGCAGCTAAGGCAAGGTGAAAGCACTTTATCCCTAGAGGAGACAGCTGTTTGGGAGCTGCAGGGAGCCCAGTGTGTGCTGGCACGAGAAGGGCTGTTCCCCTTTCCTGGCTGTTCCCCTTTCCTGGCTCATGGGGGCTGGAGCTCAGCAGGGAGGTGAGCACTGCACAGCCCACTAGCTGTGGGCAGCGGCTGGGGAAGGAGCTGGCCCTCACTGCTGCCCGCCACACTGGCCCCACATGTGTCCATGGCACTGCAGCCTTGGTAACACCATGTGTGCCCATGCCAGGGGCCTGCTGACAGCCCTGTGACAGCTGCTGCCCACCACACTGGCCCCACACGTGTCCATGGCACTGCAGCCCCTCAGCCACAGTAACACCCTGTGTGCCCGTGCCAGGGGCCTGCTGACAGCCCTGTGACAGCGGCCTCAGGCCACACGCAGGGCAGACACCAGAGAGCATTGTCTCTGCCCCTCCCTGGGACCATCACCAGACACGAGGCCAGTCCTGCAGAGGTGTCTCCTGAAGCAGCCTGTTCTGCTTGCTTTGGGCCAGCCTGTGGCTGGTACCTGAGGGCAGCCAGGGCAGTGGGGCTTGGCTGCATGGCCGGCCTGCTTTCAGCCCTGAAGGGCAGAGGGACTGGGCCCAGCTGCTGCACTGCCCAGCCTGGCCGTGACACAGGCCAGCAGAGCATCTCCAGCACCCAGAGCTGCAAACCAAGGCAGAGCATGTCCCAGCTCAGGCTGGGGGCACTGAGAGGGCCCCAGGGGCAGATAAAGAGAGCTTGCCTGAGACTAGACACCCCAGTGCCACCCTGCCAACCCAGCTTGGTGCCTGTGGTCCCTCCTGCAGCCTGGGGAGCTGTGACCACTCTGGTGTCCAGTGCCACACAGGCCCTGTGCAGGCTGGACGTGTTCAAATCAGCATCCCTGCATGGGCAAAGGCTGCTGCCCACAGACTGACCACCCCAGCTACCACAGGAAACAAACACAGTTACTACCTCACTGCAGGAGGGTGTAAGGGAGCCTCTGGTAGTCATCCAGCTGGCTAGGATGCATTCTGGCATTGGATGACTTTGTCCACTAAAACACCTGGGTGATTCACTGCCATGGACAGGTGGTCTCCATTCCATCATTTCCAGTAATGCCACAATTGTCAGAAACCAGAACATCAGAGTTGTGTATGTGTACATAGATATCTATTTTAAAACAAACAGTAGACTTTATCCAGTATGTTAAAAAGTGGGGAGGGAGGGAAAGGGGAAGAACAGAGTTTTTTTTTTTTTAAAGAGAATTACAAAAAAAGTACTTACACTGTGGAGGTCTCAATGTCTTTGCTGAGGATGTGGCTTCAGAATAGAAACTCTAAGAATGTAGCTGGGCTACATTTTATTTTGAAACTGATTTCACAAAAATTTCTTGGTGTTTTTGTCTTTTAGAAACTGTGAATAGCTGCCAGAGATGTAGGCAGGCCCAGCACAAGAAAGGCCAGGGTGAGAAGGACTAGGGTAGCAGAGAATGTTGAGCTTGATTGGAGGCAGGGAAAGGACCATGGAGCTATAGCCCATGTTGTTTATTACAGGGAAAGGATACAGGTAAGCCAAGAGTCAGTAGAGTTTGCCTCCAGGTGCTGTGGCTGGGCCATGTATTGGGGCTATTGTTTTATTATTTAATTATTTTCCAAAGCCAAAAAAAAAAAAAAAAAAAAAAAAGTAGTTGCTGCAACCATTTAATGAAACAACTTTAGCAGAGGGTTTGTAGTGTTGCCTTGAATCTCCAAGCCCTTTGTAAGATGTTTTTAAACTTTGGCACGTGTTGTGGGTGTAGTGCCCTTACCTGCTGTGTAGTGGAAGTGGCAGACTCCTGGCAAAGCCTATCTTTGTAATAAAACAAGGTGCTGAACCTGTGGAGTGCAGTTCCTGCCAAGCACGCGTGGATGACAGCTGTGCAGACAAGTTTTGCACATGCAAGACACACCATGTGTGGGGTCAGCAGCCCAGTGAGGACAGGTCTGTACGTCTCACACACACCACTCCCAGAGCCATTGCCCCAGCCCCTTCCTGGAGCAGGCACAGGAGGGGACAATCAGCATGAGGACAGCAGCCCCTGATCTGCCCAGCGCTGGGCACGTGGAGATCAGTAACCCCAGAGCAGCAGCTGCTGCTCACCTCTGCCAGGTGCCTCCTGCATCAGACTTGAGCCTGCAGCTTCAGCCCCCCAACACCAGCTGTGGCCCAGGGCCCGTAATAACCACAGCATTGCTAAATCTTCCCCCTGCCCTAGTAAAGGCTCTGCTTTCCACACACCGAGGGATTTTCTTCCTCCACTAGCAAGTTGACTCTTCGCAAAGCTAAATCCAGCCATTAAATTATTTGACCTCTCAAAGCAAGAGAGCTTTGCATTTCAGACCTGGTGGCTGGTGAGAGGGAGGACACAGTCCCTGCCTGGTGCTGTTGGGGACATTGCCACACGGGTGAGTGGTGCTCTGTGAGCCACCCCCATCTGAGAATCCCGTGAACTCTGCTCAGTTACTGCTGCCACATTCCCCACCCTGTCCCTGGGGGGACACGAGTTCCAGTTCCATTAAAGATAGATCAACGCAGCCAAGGCTGAAGTTTAAGGGAAGCTAGTTTGCTCAGCTCTTGCTTAAGCCCCAAAGCAAGGCCAGGAGCCTTGGAGGGCAATGGCAAGGCCAGTTGCAGATTAATAAAATCCTCTTTAGAAAGAGTTTTACTTCCACTTATTTTCTCCCACCCAGGAGGACTGTAACCCTTTACATGATCAGCATGACCTTCAGAAGGGCCCCGCTCTGGGCAGAGCAAGGGAAATTCAGGCAATTGAAGCTGTTAAATGGAAGTGTGATACACTGACCACAGGAGCTCACAAGACAAGTTCGTAGGTGGGAACTGTACCATAGACTGTAATAAGAGCATGAGCTGCACTGGAGGCTACAGCAACACCCCAAACTTGAGTTTTGAGCCCTAAGACACCTCTGTCTTCCTCTTACTGTAGTTAAACACAAGCTGCTTCACCTCTGCTGGGAGACACCTGCCTGTGGCATGCACCCAGACCTGCCAGCCTGGTGCTCCTGTAATCCCAGCTCAGCCAGGCATTAGCACAAGGGCAGCCAGGACAACGGGGCTGGACACCACAGCTCCACAACAGCATTGGCCAAGCCTGAGCTTCTCTGCTCCTGGGGATGTCACCATACTGTGTCCCACGGCTCTCAGGTCTCTGCCCATCACCTGGCACACTGTCAGCCTGCACACAGACCCCAGGCCCAGCAGCCCTTGGCACCACAGCTGGGGACACATGGGGACAGAGAGAGAACCTCTCTGGGAAGGCAGGCAGCAAGGTAGCTGCCTGCAGCATCAGCTCACCAGCGTGCTGTGCAGGTTGAGGGATTTTGGCACTGAGAGATGGAACTGCAGGGACAGGGACTCCCAACAGTCATGCCATTCCATGTGCCAAGTAAAGAAGCTTTATTAGGATAATGTGAACACAGAGTTAAAACCTTGCCTGGGGACTGAAAACAGCACAGACCCCAAGGGCCTGGGACCCACTGAAGCAGGGCTAAGCTCCCTAAGGAGCCTTTCTGTCTGCTGCCATGGGGGCTGCCTTCTTCACTCTGGCCTTCCCCTGCCCAGCTCCTGCAGTCGCCCGGGGTTTCTTCACCTTATTTTGACCTCCCTGTGCCTTGGGGCCCTCCTGCTGTGCCCCCTTGGGCACCTTCCCCTTGCCCTTTCCCCTGGGGGCCTTTGCCTCTGCCCCAGCACTAGAGGAGCTGTCGCTCTCCCCTGCATTCTGAGCATCCCGAGCTGTGCTGGGTCCTGAGCGTCCTTTTCGGGGGGCCTGGCGGTGGGCAGCAGCCTTGGGGAGCCCTGAAGGCCCGGGGCCATGAGCCTGGGGCTGGTCAGCAGTTTGGGGATCCTTTGCTCTATTGCTCCTGGGCTTCTCTGCTGCTCGTGGCTGGGCCTGGAGGGAAGAGAGGGGAGCACCTCAGGGTGCTGCTATGCCACGAGCCACCCAACCCTGCTGCTGGCCCCGACTCACCTTCACGGGCTTCACCTTGGGCTGCTGCTTGGTGGCACCTGTGGAGGAAGGGCAGCAGATGAGTCCAGGCAAGGCCAGGCAGCGCCAGCTCGTTCACAGCACCCACAGCCCTTTACCTCGTGGTCGTGCTCCTGCCACGGGGGCCTGGGAATCCTTGGTGCTCCCTTTCTGTCCTGGCTTTGGGGCCTGGCCTCTGTCAGGACCTGCCTGGCCCAGCTGCTGCTTGTGCCCTGGTTTCTTGTGTGCTAGCTGGAGGTGAGAGAGAGGTTCAACAGGGCCAGCCAGCACCTGCCCCCAGCCCTGTGGCTCCAGCAGCCCTGGCTCACCTTGAAGGTGCCAGTGGCCCCCACAGCAGAGGAGTTGTGGGGCCGCACCAGGTCCCCGCAGCTCAGCCCCTTGCTCAGCGCCTGCTTCAGCAGGTACTTGAGGCGGATCGGGTCCACAGTGGGGTACTTGGCCAGGATAAAACGCTTGATGGCAACGACAGAGGCACCCTTCTTCTCGTCGTGGGCCCGCAGTGCCTCCTTGACCATCTGCAGGGTTGGAGGGTGCGAGGTCCGGCAGCGCACGGAGATGCCAACAGTCTTGGCTGCTGGAACAGGGACCATTTGGGACTGAAGCCCAGTCCTGAGACATTCACACCCCCAGCAGCCTCAAAGCCCCCAGAAGCCAAGGTGCCACAGCCCTGCTCATCCCTGCAGCCCCCTAGGGAGCACAACCACCCTAACCCAGAGTATGAGCCAAGCTCCAGCTCTGAGGGACCCCAGAGCACTTGCAGACCCCTTACCCAGCTGAGGCTCCATGGCAGTACACAAACCCAGGCAGTCACAAGCTCCTCCACCCACAGCAGCACAAACCCTACTACCACAGGCAGCTCACCTCCCTCCAATTTATCTGATGAACAGCCTGGCTACAGGTGCTGGTGGTCAGCTGCTAATTGCTGTGGTCGAAGCCCTGGTGGAAGCCGGGATCTGGAAGCTGAATGGCCTTTGCCAAAGCTTTGGGAGGGGCTGGAGGGAGAAGGATGAGAGATGGGGCTTTGCAGGGTAAGTGCCCTGAGCAGGCAGACAAACGGTGCCTACCTGCTGCAAGGTGAATGTTGGGGTGCTGGGATTGCAGCTTGCTGACAACACTTGCTGTGGGGTGCACAGGGAGCCAGCCCGGAGCACGGAGCCCACACAGACCCATTGCCAGTGTGGAGGTGGGATGTGCTGTCTCCCTTACCAAGTGTGGCCTCACTAGGAAATGGGACTCTGAAAATGGTGGGGAGAGAAGATTTCACAGGTGAAAGGAGGAAAATGAAAGCTGCTTGGTTAGCCAGCAGAGGCAGGAGGAGCAACTCTCACCCAGCATCGCCAGGTGTCACAAGCAGGACAACAATTTGCATCCACCCGCTGAATCCCATGTTCAGGGGAGAGGATTCCCAGCCCTGGACACGGGCAGCCACGTCACTTCCATGACCCCTCCGTGCAGTGAGGAGAACCTGAGTAAAACACCAATGGTTCCTTGGTGTAGAAACAGTCCCCACTGTTTCCCCACCCACTCTGGTGTAGAACAATCCCCACTGCAAATGTCCCCACAGCAGGGACTGCCCACTTCACGCAGAGTCACAGGGGTTTTGTGTGCATTGTCTGTTGGAAACGTGAGGCAGCTGTAAAGCAGGATTACATGATGGCAGGACTGGCTCATGGCCATCTCAGCAGACCACAGCAATGGACCTGAAAAGCACTGCCAAGGTCTGCAGCCACCTCTTGAGCCCAAGGGCCAGATCCTGGCTGAGGTGCCAGTAGGAGCCAGGTCTGGAGCAAGGAGCTGTGAGACAGACCCCTTGCCTGGAGCCCCACATGCCCTCCTCCTCCCCAGACCAGCACCAGCCTGTTCATCCCTTGCTTCCAGTCCATTTCTGAATTCTCCAGGAAGGGGACAGTGAGCTGCTGGGGCTGGCACCACAGAAGGTTTGGCTGCACTTCCTCATCCTGGATCCATCCATCACCTCTCTGGTAGCTCTGTGATGCCTCTGGCATCTGGCTGAACTGGCAGGAGGATCCCAAACCCTTGTTGCCCCTAGCACCACCAGCAGCAGCCAGGTGTCACAGTGTGGGGACCGCCTGCAGGCTTGGGGTCAGGCCTGGGGCCAGCCTGGCTTGTGCCAGGGCTGGCCCTCCACGGGCAGGAGAACCACAGTGCCAGGCATCACCACACTCCTGTGGAGCACAGCCTCACGGGCAGCAAATAAACACTGAATCCTTCTTCCTCTTCCCTCCAAAACCACCTCCCAGATTTAAAGAGCATGAATCAGACATCAGCCTAAACACTGAATTATTCATAAAACTCTAATCTTTAGATTTCACTGAATATGCAGAAGTATCGATAAAAAAAATAATGAGAGAATTGTACTTGCAAATTGTTCTTTATTAAGGGTTTAACTTGCATGGGCTCTATACGTTCCCTATTAGTCCTTGCAAAGCTGCATAGGATTAGAAATCAGAGAGGATAATAATGTACAAAAATAGTTTCAAATGTTGATAACACTGAACAGTGAGAAAAACATCTTATTTGTATAACTGAGCTAAAAATAAAAATGAAGAACACCGCTACAATTGCAATATGCCATCTCGTAGTGCTTGGAACATATGTCGGCGTGGCGGAGCCATATGCTGCTGGGGGCTGCCTGCTGTGGCGGGGAGCGAGATCAGCCCCGGCCCCGCGGGCCCAGCAGCACCAGAGCCACCCAAAGCCTCCCGCTGGGCGAGGCCGGACTGACCACAGCCCAAATGGGCACGGCCATGGGCAGCCTTGCTGGGGGCTTGGCCCGAGGGGTCCAAAGCTGCCTAGGAAAGAGAGGTAGGACTGTGGGGAAGGGGTGCTGGGGGACAGGGAGCGGAGCTGCGGCTGCTGAGGGCGCCAACACCACTGCTGGAGGACCGAGCACTGAGCTGTCCCGGGGAGCTGAGGCCACACACGGCTGAGCCATGCTGGCAGGGCCCGCCGTGCCACCTCCCTGCCAGGCAGGACCCGGGCACTGCTAACTGTCCCATCCCCCTGGAGCAATCACAGTGTCCCCCAGGACTTCTGGCAGGTGGGACAGGGCCAGAGCTGGGAGCATCTGGCAGAGCCAGGGCGCTTTGCAGCAGCCAAACGTGCTCTGGGCAGACACAGTGTGATGGGACTGAGCAACTGGCAGCACTGGCTAGGATCCATCTCTGACAAAAGGACCAAAAGTGGCCACAGCTCTGGCCCTGGCAGCAGCAGATGCAGAATGTGCCCTGGCTGTGGTGTTAGGGTGGGTTGAGGGAGGCAAGGACAGCTCTGCCATGGCCCCAGGCATGAGCTCTCCGACCCAGCCTGCACTCAGAGAAGGAGCATGAGGTCTCAGCAAGTCAACAGAAATGCATGGATTTACGCCAGAGGAGCTAAGCCTTTGCATTTTAATTACAAAACATGTGTACACATTTTCAGCCTTGTTCCCAGGGTTCCTAGAGCCAGAGCGAGGAGCCCACCCCACAGGGCCTTGGCCATGGTGAAGCAGGGGCAGGTGGTGGCAGCGGTGGGGTGAAGTTTGTGCTGCCAGGGCAGCACCCCAGGGCCTGGCTGCTCCCATGGGGCCTATGCAGGAGAGACCTGGCTGGTGGAGACGGAGGAGGTCTCTGTCTTGCCAGCAGATGTGTCCTCGTCACCCAGAGGGTTCTTGCCACAGCAGAGGGTTGTGATCATGCAGTTACGGAACTGGGAGAGAGAGAAGCCCAGGGTGAGCCAGCTGGACACCATGCAGCTCTGGCTGCAGAGCTGTCTTTAAGCCCAGCAGTACTGTGGTGCAGGAAGAGCTGAGCCTATATGGAGTCTCCTGCCCCACTGTCTGCTGCCCACCCCATCTACTGCCAGCCCTGCCTGCTCCCATCACGGCTCCTCCATCAACCCGGCACCTGCATCACTTCAGGTGGAATGGCCTTGCACTTGTGAGATTTATGCAGCACCAAGGATGAACTGCACAGTCAGTTTCTCATGTGCCAGGACTAGATCTCCTGGAAACAATCCCCGCCCCAGACCACTGGCACCTTGAGATGCTGTAACTCTCTCTGCCTGCTCTTATAAAGAGAAACACAAGAGAGGGGCACTGCCAGTTACCTGTTTGTTCATTACGATGTAGATCACAGGGTTGTAGATGGCCGAGCTCTTGGCAAAGAATGCCGGGATGGTCATGAAGATGGGCCCGAAGTCTGATCCCTGGTTGGTGAAGATGTAGAAGGCGACGCTGGCATAGGGGACCCAGCAGATCAGGAAGGAGATGACCATGATGATGACCATGCGAGTCACTTCTTTCTCTGCCTTCTGGGTGGTGGCAGACTCCTGCTGCTGGGCGGCAGCCTGCGGGCAGAAGGGCACAAATATGTGTTGGAGCCAGTGGGTGCTGCACCAGTAGGGACACAGAGTCAGGGCTCACGGCAGTCAAGCTGCACATCTGCAGTTTGCTATTTGCCTCTTCATGGATGGCCAGGCTGGCCCCGGCAGGACCCTCCCTGGCACCATTCCTGAACCTGGTGTGGGTCCCTTTCCAGCCCTGGGGACAGGGGTAGCCCTGCTGGGCACTGCATCTGGCAGGTACCCACCTCCTTAACCGTGCAGACCAGGTTCCCATAGCAGAAGAAAATGATCGCCAGCGGGATCATGAAGTGAACCACAAACATGTAGATGACAAAGGATTCATTGTTGACCTCTGGCTTCAGAGTGTAATAGTCGATCCCGCACGAGCACTGCATGCCCTCGGGGATGTACCTGCAAGGGGAGCCCAGCAGGTCAGCACCCAGCAGAGGAGACTGCCTGGAAGCCACAGCTGAGCCACAGCCAGGCTCCCACGCCCCTGACGCTGGGTCCAATGCCCTCCCTACCTGGACCAGCCGAAAAGCGGGGGAGCTGCACACGCCAAGGCCATGATCCAGGAGAAGGCAACACCCATGATGGCATGGTTCTCTCCGAAGCGGAAGTTGCTCATGGGCTTGCAGACCACTACGTATCTTTCGATAGCCAGGACCACCAGTGACCAGAGAGCAATTTCACCTGCACCAGGGAGAGGGACAGAAAGGACACAGGGACTTTGAGCAGGAAAAGAAAGCACCCTGATGGCAACATGAGGTCTCCTGAGACTGGTGCTCCTGAGGACAACCCCTGGCAGAAGCTTAATCTCTGACAAGGGTTTAGAAAGAAAAATGAAGAATGGTCAAGGGCAGATGTGGTAGGACAGTGTGAGAAGACCCCTTCTCACTGTACTGCTGACCCACAGGAACCATTTTGCTGCAGTGTTTTGAGATTCATGGCTGATCCCACCACTCATCCCAGACAGCATCTGCACCAGCAAGCCTGTGGTCACACTCTGACATGAAGCAAGTGCCCATCATCCCAGGACTTCCCCTCACTACCCACTTGGAAACTTGTGCCACAAGGACCAAACCAGTAAAACAGTAGCTGTGGCTGAAGGCTGAGACAAATGGAAGAGGACATTTTTAGGCACACAATTTCTGTTTCACATCTGTTTGCTTCCATACCAGGCTGGCATGGGGAGGAGAGGCAGCTCTGCTTGCCTGTACCACCATGCACCACACCAGAGCCAATGGCAGATTCAGCCCTGCAAAATAGGAGGAACAAAATTGTCATCTCTCGAGTCAGAAAGCCAAGGAGATGCACAAATCCGACAACTGCAAAATCTGGTGTTGGCTGCTTTTCATTGCTGCACTGTGGTTCTCAGGATACTGAGCAGCTGGCTCCCAAAATAAAGGTTTTTTTGAAAAGTGTTACTTATCACTTTCTTCAGCTCCTACCCAGAAACAGGGCAAATCACCTCAGTCCACATCAGCAGCAGCTCAAGGACACTACAGGTACCACGTTTTGCCAAGGTCATCTGTGTTTTTCCCTCCCACTACCAAAATCCAGGGAAATTCCTGACAGAAGGCATTTGAATATTGGGAAAACTTACCGCCCAGTGTGGCAAAGAAGCCTTCGATGTAGCACCCTGTTACTCCAAAGACAAAGTACCCGTTCATGGAGGTGTACATAGTGGTTGTGAAGCCCCCGAAGACCATGAAGAGGTCGGCGACGGCCAGGTTCAGGAGGATGTAGTTCAGAGGTGTGCGGAGCTTCTTGTGCTGGATGGTGACGTACAGCGTGAGGAAGTTGATGGGGAAGCCGAGCAGAATCAGCATGAACATGTAGGCAGCCAGCGCCGAGAACTTCCACGGCTCAGCCAGGTAATACTGGGGGTACTCAAAGGGGCTCCGCACCACCCCGGTCTTGTTGGACATGGGCACGTAGAAGTCTTGGCCTTCTGTCCCGTTCATGGTTGCAGTTTGTGAGGCGCTTTTTGCTCTTACTCCAGGAGTTCTTTTGTGCAAGGGGAAAATTGCCTCTGAAATGGAGCTCCTGCCACCTCTCAGCCTTCACTGTCACCCCAAGGAGAACCAGTTACATCCTCCTCCACGGGGCACCTCTTATAAAGTGCCCCCGGGGTAAGCTCCAGGCACTGGTGTCAGCACGATTAGGGTTTAGAGAATTATTAATCATAATCATCCCAGGGTAATTGGCTTTCCTGGGAAGGTGTTAAGGTGACACTAGTTTCTGGCCAGTGCTGTCGTTGTTGGAGACCATGGCTCATGGTCATATATATAAAGAGGTAGTTCTGCACCACACCATTTATTTGGAGGGGCTCAAACCAGGCAGCAGCTCCCTTGCACAGCCTTGCTCTTCCTTTCCCTTCCCCACTAATAGGAGGGACACGTGTGGTTCAAACCCCAGACTGTGGGTTTGGGGGCTGCAAATGGTGGCCTGGCTGGGTTCCTGAATTCCACTTCCTCAGTGACAGGGAGTGTCCCAGCCCCATTCTCACAAGGGGAACGTGGGTCTGTGAGACAAGCCAGTCCCCACTGGACAGCCATCCCCACATACTGCCAGTCCCTGTGGGAGGCTGCAGAAGGCAGCGTGACCAAACCTTCTTCCACAAGCTCCAGCCTCCTCTCTACTCAGGATCTGGCTGTGGAGGTTTGACCACCACCATGAAACACTTGGCCCACTTGCAGGTTACCTGTTGGGCCATGCCCTCTGTGCCTTTGTATCTGATTTGGGTCATGCCAACTCCATTGGTAACAGCTAATGAATAACCTAGTCCATCTGTCCTGGACTGGAATCATTCTGCAATGCTGCTGAGAAGGCTGTTGGACCAGGCACCGATGGGATGTTCAGAGCTGAAGCCTGCACTCAGCTTCATATACTGATTGACAGACAACCTCACTCTCCTCAAACCCTGCATAATTATCAAACTCCACAGGGAAGGCTATTGTTGGAGCCTTCTGTGCCCTCTATGTCTCTCTGACTCATCACTCTGTGCACTCAGTTGTGCTTGAAACATTTCTTGTGCCAACCAGAAGCTGAGTTATCTTCATTTTTCAGAGGCGGTGAGACAACATGTACAGGAGGTGAGCACAAAGAGAGACTTTGCTCTGCCCCTTTGTAGGTGATGGAGGCTGGAAGGGAGCTCAGCACCCAGCTCTCCTTGCGGTTTTGGCTGCACTGAGGGCAGAGCTGAGCGTTCCTCACAGCCAGGAGCAGGTGAATGCCAGGGCCTTGTCCAGTACAGGAGGATGTGCCAGAGCTGCTGGAGCTCATGGGTGTGAGGTGGGCAGAAATTCATGTCCTCTTGGCCTTAGAAGACTTCCTCCAGCCTGGCCTAGTTTTCACCAATGTTCCTTGTAAGTTAGTTCAGAAATAAGTTTAATGGGAAAAAGCACAGAGCACTGTAGTGTCCTTAGAGCAGAGACCAAGCTGGGAACCTGCCCTCCAAGTGGGGAAGGTGGAAGGAGCTGAAGTGCTGGCACCACAGACTAGGGCGGGCCTTGCTGGCAGCCCAGTGCAGGCCACA